TTATTTACAGATTTGTTATAATTTATTTACAGATTTGCAACAATCCCCTTTTGTACAGTTTGTTTACTTTCTGATTCAACTGCCTGTCATTTGAACTGTGTTTGGTGGATGTAAAAATAGTTTGATTCTTAGCTTTCTATATTGATACCAAATATGTCCAGGTTCAACTTACAGATCTCAAGTTAACAGTAGTTAAAAGATATAGAAAACAAAAATACTGGTTTACTCATTTAACCTGCAGATTGTCAGCAAGTTACATGAACCACTCAGTGGATTTGATTAAAACTCTCAGAAATGAATTAACGGCCTGACATAATGAACTAAAACTTCTTCATCGGACACTGCAGGTATGTTTAAAATATTTAAGTGCAGGATTGCCTGGTTTGCCCCAGATCCACAAAGCAGCAGCCGTAGTCTGTCCCAAACGTGATCTTTATCTTCCTGTAATCATAAGTCTGTCGTCCATCCAGACGCTGCAGGAGACAGAAGAAACAATTAATCTAAATCTACTGATGGGGATGTGAACCACAGCAGGTTGTCACCACAAACTCACTTTGTTTAAAAACAATACACTTGGACATTATTTCTCCTTTTGGGAGGGACAAACACAGACGTAACATAATGCGTTCATAACAAACTAAGAATAATTCACTTTTCAACAAGAAGAAAAATGCATTAGGATATTTACCTCCATCGTCACTTATTCTGCTATATTTAGAAACATTTTGTTATAAATGAAAATGTTTGCACTATCCTGACTTCTGCTCAAACAGTGCAAAAGTATTTTTCATTCATCGCACAATATTTTAGGTTTTCCTACAGATTCGTTTAAAAAACGCTTTAAAAACGCACCTTTTTCTCCTCGATAGCTTTTAATAAAAAGTCTCTCTCACAGTTGGACAGCGGAGTGTCTTTCATGTTGATTGTTCTTTGATGTTTTCAGAAAAACCTTTATTTACTTCACTTCTCAACCAACATGCGGGGACCATCTGTTTACTAGTTGTGCGCATGCGCTGGGACACACGCTTTACGGCACTGAACGGCATGTCGTAAAAC